CTACCTGGCACCGGCGTGCTGTCCCTGGACGGCGGGCGAGGGCGGCCAATCCGGGGTGCTCCGCGGGCGCCGAGCTCGTTGTCGGGGCTACCCAAATCCAGATTCCATGTATCTAACTTTTCTGACTGCGAGGTTCCTGAAGGGTCACGACCAGGTGCGTACACGTGAGTACAGCACTGTACATTGAAAGCATTTAATCATCTCTCCTATCTCTTCTGTTGGCTTTCTGATGATGACCAATTTGGTGTTTCTTCATTTTTTTATGTATTATTTTTTAAACATTATCTTTTTAAGTTAAGCTTCGTTTTGCTTCTGAGTGACATTTCTTGAAGGAGAGAGAATCAAATCTACATATTGCTAGTTTATACAACTTGAACTCTTTATCCAGTTTTTTTGTTTTGTTTTTTGGGTTGTTTGTTTGGTGCAGGGGGTGGAACTCGAGACCTTGCGCTCGGGAAGCAGGTGGCGGAACCACTGAGCTAAATTCCCGGCTTTATCCAGTTTCTTTAACAAAATTTAAGTACTGAACTTATGGTAAAGTAATAATACAAATAAAATAGGCCCTTGCCTCCCAGAGAAGGGCCTAGAGTAGCTGGAGCAGATGTAGCTGGGTGGCTTGGGGGAGTAGGGCCTGGCCAAGGAAAGCATTAAGAAGTAATACAGTTAGAGAGGGGATAGTTCTCGGCCTTTAGGCAGCTGCACCCACCTGTCACTCTGATAGGATGTCACTGAAGGGTCTGGAGGAGTACCATAACTTTAAAAGAATGGTCTAAGTTACATTCTGAAAGATCTCCTTTTAAAGAGAGAAAACGATGATACTGCTTTCTCCCAAGCAGTATTAAGAGGAATTCCCTCTCATTCGTATAAGGGAGGCTGTAAGACTGCGCATTAAGGAGTGGAGATGAGTCCGGAAGCTTCGATAAGACATGTAAAGTTCACCGCGCTTATCAAACAGGAGAAAAGGGAGAGGGCAGAAAAGGAGAACCGATGCACCAAAATTCTAATGTTATCATTCCTCAAAGTGTGAAAATAATAAATAAATTATTCCCAAAGTTTGCACCGAGTTACCTGGGGGCACAGCCATGAGCTCACAGGGTGTCTCCAGGCATTTCTCCTAAGAAGATAAACGAATAACCAGAAGCACAAGAAAATACTGTAAACATCATTAGTCACTTGGAAAAGGTGGGAAATCCACATTGAGAAACCATTTGACATCTATTAAAATAGCACAGGAAAACAGACAATAGCAAATGTTGGTTAGTGTGTGAGGAGACGGGAATCTTCCTGTGTCAAGGACAGGAATGTAACCTGGTGTGCTCTGGGGCAGCTGCAGTTTCTCACAGCAGTGAGACACACACCAGCCACTCCTCCAGCAGCCAACCAACCAACCCCTATCCCTTCCACAAACGATGCCCTGCACACCTCCAGAGATGGTCTGTGCTGTATTTTCCCTCTTTATTTTATTCAAATAAAATGACAGACTGGCCCAGGAGGACAAGTATCTGTGGAGGTAAATACACCCGTCTCCTGGTCTCAGACTACAAACCGGTCTGCAGATGCACCAGTCCCTTAAAGAGCATGAGTGTACATCTGCAGCCCCCAGAGTGAGGAAAAGCGACTTACACAAAAACCACATTATCTGGAGATACCCGGGGAGAGAGGTGTGTGAGCGCCACCCTCTGGTGGAGGGCAGGGGAAGTGGAAGGGGATGTAAAAGGAATTAAAACGAGCTATGCACATTTGAAAAGGGGATGAGGAAACGCAGATCGAGTGCAACTTAAATTTGTGAGATACTTTGTTTTTCAATTTCCAGTGTTCATTTTTACTGCACGTTTTCTTCAGTGATTTCAGTGTTAAGGACTCTTAACATCAAATAACCAAAGCAAAGGTTGCCATCTCCTGGCAGGACAGCAAGCCAGAATGTGCATTAAGTGTTCTTCCAGGGCCACCTGGTGGCCGATTTAACTGATACTTCGTACAGTTTGGGGAATCCAAGAAATGCAAAGTTGACAACTCATGAAATTTATTTTTAACCTTGAAATCAGCATTTAAGTGCCTTCCTAATTCAAAGGCCCACATAGAACAATTAAAATTCGAGTCTCTGGATGCTTATGCCATAAATAAATGCATTTTATATTATATTTAGTGCCATCTCTTTCATATATTTTGTTCTTCTTGTTGATTTCACTGCTTAAAATGGAGCCAACCACAGTAATGAAGTGCTGATTTGTGGCTAACCCCTAACGGCTATTATGCACTTTCTGGAAAGAATAAGTGTTGGGTTAAGTTTTATTCTGGCATGAGTTAAATGTTGACTGAGTTTGATGCCAATGACCTACAACGTATGTTTTAAAAGTTGTTTTTAAGCAGAAACATACATGAAACAAGGCTAGGTGTTGATCAGTTATGGAAATGCTGTAACCAAAGGCTCAAAGGAATCTAACTCCAGACAGAGTCCTCTAGGAGCAATGACTTACTGCTCATTTCGCATAGACCACAGAACACAATTACTGTAAACAAGGACAGCTATCTTCAGCTTTAAGTAGAAGTACTATAGGAAGTCTCAAAACTTTACCACAAGGAAAGGTATTGCTCACCAAAAAATAATTCTTCTAGGGCTGGCATTGCATGAATCCATCTCAAAGATCCTGAGATCTGGGACAGAACGCAGTTTTACAGTCTGACTCTAGTCTGGTAGAAAGCATGCCAACCTTGGAGCTCACACCGAAGCTCGGCTGTGGGCTGGCTGGGCAGCCTCACAGACATAATTCTCTCCTGTCAAAAAAAGGAAATGGCAGCTTCCACAAGGGCTTTGTGAGGATGGGCTCTCTTAAGTATAAAGAACTTCCTCCTGAAGCAAAACAAGTCCTTGCCTCTGCTGCTACAAAGGGCCAAAACAGAGACTTGCAAGCTTGCATCTTCAAACTCAGGAGAAAAAGGCTGTCTGTATCACCAATGCATCCGCACTTCCTCTCGGTCTCACAGCCAGCTGGAAACCACAACCTTCAGAGAAGCTGTGCCCTGTGGCCTGGGAGGCAGAGGAGCCTGTTGGGAGCCCTTGCAGCAGGACTGGCTGTGCTCTGTTGGTCCAAGCTCTTACATAGCTGCTGGATTCCAGCTGGGTCAGACAAGCAGCATCTGTAAGCACCGGCCGTGGTGCCCATGACCTTTCCTTAAGCCACTGTTCTAACAGTTGACTCAGGAAGGCAAGTGGGATTTTACCCTTCCACATTTAATATTAGGACAAGTGCTGGACTGTCACTAAAGCTTATTCTAGCTCAGCTAGGTTGAAAGTATGACTTCTACCCACATCAAATCCATATATGGCCAACCCACTACAAGCCAAAGCATCACCTTAATGTAATCAGATTAAGAAAAATTTCCCAAATGAGCAATGGTTTAGGTATCAGGGGCATATGCAATATAGTACAGTTCGGTATGTGACTGTGAGAGACACAGAAACAAAAAGTTTCCACAAGCACAGGCATCTAACCCACGTACACAGTGTGCAGATGCCTACTTGGTGCACTTAACGTGTACTGTGGTGTTTAACCCTCCCACTCCCAGGAAGATATGGAAGAAAAATTAACAGTTTAGACAAAGCCACATAGCTAATATATAAGGCTGCATGAATGTGGGAAAACTGAAGGGCATGGAGGCAGAGCCAGGGGAAGAGTCAAAGACTGCCCGAAATTATACAGGAGGTAGATGACCCTCAAAGGCCTCCCTTTCCGTGGGGCCTTCACAGACTATCTTCTTAGTAGACCTCTCCTTAAAGATCTGGTCACACCATGACCCCGATCCCAGTTCTACTCCACTGTGACAAGCCGCCCAGGAGGTTCCTGAATCAGTAAGAAACGTCTTCTGTGGCAAACCCTTCTTTGGGCCCAGAGCCAGGAGATTCCACACCTCACTAGGAGTCAGTGTGCATGAGGAAGTGAGCAGAGACGACGGTAATAAAGGTGAAAATAACAGCTCCTTCCCACTGAGACTTATGAAGGGCCAGACAGCCTCAACAAGCTTGTGAGGCGCTAAAATTACCCCCAGTTGCAGATGTGACCATGAGATGAGAGATCACTGGGAGTCCCACGGATGCACCATGGGGGTAAATGGTTTTCCTTCCGCTTGACGCCCTTTGGCCAGGAGCCAAAGACCAGTGAGTAGCAGAAGTTGTCCCCCTGGAGATGTGACGTGGATCTGAAGCAGGCCAGACTCTGGGTGGAGATTGCACGGGCAGCACTAATCGCACAGGAACCCATCCTGCCTCAGCAGACTGCAGAGTAAACAGCCCTTAGGCTTGTAACACCTGGCAGGCTCTGGGGCTTTTCCGGGTGCAGAGTCTGCACAGGCTGAACACTGGAAGGAATCATACTACTTCGTCAGCTTGGGGCCGTAATGGCTATGACTTAACTAGCTGAAGAGTATTAGGATTAAATTTCAGATCTTAAGGGAAAAAAACCTTCTATTTAGACTGACGTGGAGCACCAGGTTTACTGTTTTCCTTTTGATCTATGGAGGTAAAGATCTTGCTTTAAAACACTGAGGGGTCGAGGGTAGGGTACAGAGGGGAGTAAAGGTGAAACAAGACTGGCCATGGGTTGATGTTTGTGGAAGTTAAATAACAGACAGAGGTTAATCATACTCGCTTCTCAACTCTTTGCTATTGTTTAAATGTTTCCCTTGAGCAATGTTTTCTTAAAATATGGAGGTAAATTCAGTTGACGAGTCACCAATTATTTATTTTTTTGGTAGAGGCCACAGGTACTGCCATTTAGAAATTGCATTGCACTGTGTGCTCGATGGACCCGTAACAACCATATGGGGCCCCGGGACGGTGTATGACCCTCCAGACACTTTTCTCTTTCCGGCACTCAGAACACCTTCGATTCTTTGTGTCTGCAGAGAACGGGGCATCCGCTTCAGCCAGGGCCCTGTCTCTAACCACCTCGCTCCCACCCCTGGCCGCTGCCCTGCTGGCACAGTGACTGCAGATCCATGCGGAAGTGGCTGACACCAGCACCTGTGTCAGTTTGTCTTGGCTGAGAGGAAATGAGGGGAGGGAAGCTTTCTCAGTATTCTGTGTGGAAAGGATAGTCTTTGTGATTTTCAGTTCTGAAAAAAATAACAGAAACAAAGAATTATTATTTTTTAAAACAAACATTTTAAGTGGTAGTTAGGTAATTTTAACCCCCTAGTGTTTATATTAGTCCTCCATTTCATTCAGTGGAGCATCTTCAAACAAGACAGAATAATGAAAAGAAGGTATAGATAACCTAGAGTGTATGTTGTAAATCCCTCTCAGGAACCAACCCGATCTGTACAGTACACTGCTCCTTTTAGAAAGGCAGCAAAGGAGTCCCACTTACGTGGGGAACGTGGCCAACCGGAGATTCTTATCTAGACTGAAGATGTCATTCATATCTTGCTCTGTTAATTCAAAATCAAATACCTAGAATCAAAATATAATACAAATAAAAAATTTAGTTCAATTAATATTTAATTGGTCCTATGTTAGCTACAGCATGTACTAGACTGGCAAGGGACACAAAGATGTAAAAGATACACTACGTTAGATACACGTGGTGCCCTGGCCAACTCCCTTCTCCCCATTTGGGCTGAATGGAGAAGATACCAAGTGCTGGGGAAGAAGGGATCTTTGTGGCAAGAGTCACTGAAGAAAGGCTGACCTGGGTAAACGAGTATGAAGAGACCTTGGCCACACCGAGTGCACAGTACTCCTGGGACAGCGTCTCACTGCACTTAATATAAGAAGGAAAACACCCACCTGGATATTCTCTTGAATCCGGTGTGGGGTGACAGATTTGGGAATCACGATCACATTCCTTTGAATCTGAAATCGAATCAAAATCTGCAGAAGAAAATAAAACGTCTATTCTATAAAGGGAAATCATATGAAGTCAAATCCAAGTCACTTTCCTAACAATCTGCAATGAAAGTCCAAAGTCTCTTTCACGCTGAAGTCCTTTAGTATCAGACCGGCCACTCTGACAGTCCCATCAGTGTTATCTGTGAGGACTGCCACCTACCCAAGGAGGTCCGAAGACACGTCCACGCCTGAAAAGGAATTCCTTAACATACCCCCAATCTCCCAAGTGAACTGGACATTAAAGGAAGAAAGAGATGACAAAGGATCTCTCTGCTCCCCTCGCTAGCTGTCCATGCAGAGGACGGGTCAGGAGGCGGGACCACTGGGACGAAAGAGTGGGGACCTGGAAGCAGCTGACCCTCCGCTCCACACTGGGGAGTGCCGGTGAGGTGAATGCATCCTTCACAGGGGCTGACGAGCCCCAGGACACCGAGAGGAGAGGACAGGAGAGGGACATGCACAGCGCAGGACAACCTCCCCCAGTACCTGAGCCGGAGACTTGCTGTGCTCCTTGGCGATCCTCTCAATCACAGGGTCATCCATCAAGTGAATACCCTGGCTGTTAAGATGGAAAAGGGCAATGAAACAGGCCTGACAAGGTTTCGTATTAAGGTAAAGCCTTTCCACAGAATGAAAGGTTTATTATTTGCTTAAAACACATGCTCACTGTGGGAAATTTAGAGGCTGCATGAAAGGACATCACTACACACCTGCCATCTGAAGATAACCACATTTGGGTGACTACAGCTGCACAGCCTAACTTTTCATGCATTATTTTGTGTTTTCTTAAAAAAGAGGTGGCACCATCAGAGAATACAAAACAGTGGGATTTCCAATGACACAAAGGGCTTGCCAACGTCTCAGCTTTCTATTGGACACAGCAGTGTTTACAGTACTGGTAATCAATATTTGTCGATGCTGATAATAATCCAGAAACTTCTAGTCAAATACTATGGGAAAAGTTGATATTGTGAACACATGGGAATTTAAAGGAAGAAGCTTTAAAAGGCCATGACAGAGTATCCATCAGAATCTGTCCAGCCTAGCGACAGGCCCCAACAACTACAAATAACCGTTTTAAAAAATTTACTAAGCAATTTCCAGGTTTCAGGCATTGAGCTAGTTGTAGTTGTTACAGTGCCCTGAAGGACAGTGCCCATGTTTTCTTGCTGTGGACCTGGGGTTCCAGTTGTGCCTTTCCCTTTGCTGATCAATTAGAGGCTCTCTCACACCCAAGCTCAGCCACCAAGTGTGAACTAGGCTTTTGTGAACTGCCCCGCTGCTGAGCACAAATACGCCTGCCTCATTTTACATGGAAAACACACAGAAGAAAAAATTCAATCATTTAAGCACTTCCTGGGCTCCTAACATGTCCTACCCCAAACTAAGGGCTGAGAATAGAATACATAAGATGCAGTACTTGCAGTCAAGTGGCTTTAATTAGTGGGAGAGAGTAAAAAGAAAATGACAGCATCCCGACAGGGGCCATGTGCAAAATATGAACAAGCAGCCAAGAGGGCTTTTGGAGAAGGTGGTGTTGAGAAGAATCTTACATCAGAAATTGCTGTCAGCCAGATTTCTAAACAGACTTTTAGGGATAAGAAACAGTATATGCAAAGGCAAAGAGACCAGAAAGCACATGTTCTATCCAAGGGAATTCAGTAGCTTTGTATAGTTGAGGCCGTGATGCTTTGCAGGAAGAGAAATAAAGCCAGGGTGAGGAAAGCCAAGGCCAGCTGTGTCGCACAGAACAGCCACAGCATGAAGAGCTTTTGAGCAGAAATGACACGATCCTGTGGAAACAGCACTTTTCAGCTACCATGTGAGCAAGTCATGGGGATGGGGTGACCTGGAAAAGCGATACGGAGTCCCTCTGAGAAGCTCAGGAAAGCCTGCTTTACTAAGATGGAGACTGTGGCAATGCAAATCAAAACGCAGATTCTGAGTTCTCTTGGTGCTGAGTCAGCGTGCATGTGAATAGGTGAGAAGGGACGATTTCCGAGTTCCTGGATGAGGTGGCTAAGGGAGGGATAGCTCCTCAAAGGACAGAAGGTACAGCACAAGTTTGAGGGTCTGGCAAAAGATAACACGTACGACCCGTGTTATCTGTGTTCTGAGACACAGGTCAGTAGCTGACGGCAGTATTAGTGGGGAGCTTGGCAAAGCCATCACTTCATGTTGGTTACGTCCCTCAGAAGCCACTGACTGCCACAGGGCAGCAACTCACAGCACCAGCTCCCTGTCTTCAGCCGGGTGCCTGAGAAGTATGAAAATCCCTCTGTCACCCCGCCCATGAAGCACCTCTGCTCCCTCTAGGGACATGGGAAGATGGCATCTATTCAATGGCAGTACACCAACTAACACAGCTACGGACTCAGCTTTACCTTGAGCCACCAAGAGGACAGTAAGCAGTCACGGACACGTTTCTGGCTTGGCAAAAACTGATCAGTCTCTTCTGAGAAAGGTATGGGTGGCACTCAATCTATGAACAGAATCATAAAGTGCCATAAAAATCAGACAAACAGCATGCTGGGCAAGGTCTAAGAGAGGTCATCTACAATGGTGTCTTGGCAGCAACAGCCAGCCCCGAAGCCTGGGTATCTTCATATCAAGTGAGGATCTAGACTTTGCCATCTCTAAGTGCTGGGCGCTGTACAGGTCTATGAATCTATGGTTTCACTAACACTTATGTCATCCGCATGCTCCAACACTACCTGCTATGCCAGGCCTTCCTTCATCACTCAAGGAAAAGCCTAAACACTCCATAGCTCCCACCTCCCTCCTGTCCTTTGTTTGCCAGAAGATGTAACTGTCACCTCATACATTTTATTTATTTTGTCTGTCTGTTGTTATCAGAATTTAAGCTTCATGAACACAGGAATTTTTCCTGAATCCATTTTGCTCACATGTAAATCCCAATTGTGGTGGATTAACTAATGGTCACCTTAAGCTAAACTGAAGTCAGCATGATTCTGGGTGTGGAAGACCCACTTGAGGATTGCTGCCAACGGCATAAAAGAACAGGAGAGTAAGACTGCATGCTGTTCATTTTCCTGGAGAAGCTTGTTGCGGCTGGTTTTCCAGATACAAACCCAACTGGTCTTGGCATGAGAGGAACCTGGGTCCTCACTGTCATTGGGTATGGCTGCTGCTCTCTTCAGGGGAGCCCTGGTCCTCACTTTGAATGCTGCTTCCTGGCTCCAGTGCAGCTCCCTCAGCCTGGTGGCACAGACCCTTCACCCCGCTGGTGCAACCTTCCCAGCTTCCAGCACTGGCCTTTGGGCCTTCCTGGTGCAGATCCTGGATACATACACGACTGTGGGATCCAGGCCCTAGGCTGGATTCTTCGGGTCTGCAGCACACAGACAGATCTCTAGCACTCCTCTGCATTTGACTTTTTGGGTGACTATTATAAAATAATCCTAAAATTACGTGTCCTGTACTAAATCTATTCCCTTGCAACTCCTGACTACAACACCAACACAGGAGCAGCCTCTCTGTAGAGGTATGCAGTAAAGAGCTGCTGGATGAATCATGGCAGTAGGGAGTTGTACGTAACAAGTACATTCTACAGGAGGCATCAGTGAACTGCTCAAGAAACCCAGAAGCAGGACTGCTGTCTCCCCATACTCTAAATTCTCATGTATAGTTCGTTTATAAACAATGATTTTAAATAAATGCTTTTTAGAGGGAATTAAGGACAACCAGGGATAGCCTTTGCTCTCAGGATCATGCTGTGACCAGCGGGATAAGCTTCCAGGAAAGCCAACAAAACAAAGGCCAGCGCTTCTGCAGCCTCCATGACCTATGCTCCCTACCTCCTAAAACAGGCCTCTACCTTGGCTCCTTCTCTAGGCAGCACCCACTCCTAGGGATTCAAAGTGCTGTTCACCAAGAAATCATGACACAATACAGGAGGCATTATGCAAAAAAACAGATTCTGTGCACACAGGATTTTTAAAAAGGCTAAACCAAAATAGGCTAGGAGTCAGGTTAGTAGTTGCTGTTTGCTCTGTGACCAGCGGGATAAGCTTCCAGGAAAGCCAACAAAACAAAGGCCAGCGCTTCTGCAGCCTTCACGACCTATGCTCCCTACCTCCTAAAACAGGCCTCTAACTTGGCTCCTTCTTTAGGCAGCACCCACTCCTAGGGATTCAAAGTGCTGTTCACCAAGAAATCATGACACAATACAGGAGGCATAATGCAAAAAAACAGATTCTGTGCACACAGGATTCTTAAAAAGGCTAAACCAAAATAGGCTAGGAGTCAGGTCAGTAGTTGCTGTTTGTGGAGGTGACTGAACACGGCGAGCTTCTAGGTGAGGACACTGCTTGTTGCTCTGAGGGCTGAGTATCAGCGGATGTCACTTTTGTGACAACCCACCAAGCTATGAACTTTTGACTTACACACTTTTTCAAGTACATTCTACAGGAGGCATCAGTGAACTGCTCAAGAAACCCAGAAGCAGGACTGCTGTCTCCCCATACTCTAAATTCTCATGTATAGTTCGTTTATAAACAATGATTTTAAATAAATGCTTTTTAGAGGGAATTAAGGACAACCAGGGATAGCCTTTGCTCTCAGGATCATGCTGTGACCAGCGGGATAAGCTTCCAGGAAAGCCAACAAAACAAAGGCCAGCGCTTCTGCAGCCTTCACGACCTATGCTCCCTACCTCCTAAAACAGGCCTCTAACTTGGCTCCTTCTTTAGGCAGCACCCACTCCTAGGGATTCAAAGTGCTGTTCACCAAGAAATCATGACACAATACAGGAGGCATAATGCAAAAAAACAGATTCTGTGCACACAGGATTCTTAAAAAGGCTAAACCAAAATAGGCTAGGAGTCAGGTCAGTAGTTGCTGTTTGTGGAGGTGACTGAACACGGCGAGCTTCTAGGTGAGGACACTGCTTGTTGCTCTGAGGGCTGAGTATCAGCGGACGTCACTTTTGTGACAACCCACCAAGCTATGAACTTTTGACTTACACACTTTGCTGTATTTACTGGAAAGTTACACCACAATTTTTAAATTGTTATATCACATTTTTAAAAGCTTATTTATTGAAGAAAGGAAAAAAAAGGGAAGTTAGGCTCTTCTCTGAATAATGCCAAACTGGAAAGCACCCAAGGGCTCATCCTGAACAATTGTGCCCATCAACAGTAAATGGACAGTAAACTGTGAGGTATCAACACTGCCGAATACCATATGGAAATAAGGCATGATCTGCAGGCCATGTACTATGGAGAGTATAACATTATCATGGGAGAGCAGAGACAAGAGCTGACGATGCCTCCTATTTTATTTATAACTGTAACGACCTGGCCTGTGCTACCACAGGGAACCGTGGCGTCCCCTGCAGGGCCAAGAGGTGCTGACTGGAGAGTGGCATGGCAGGTGCTGCTAACGCCCAGTAATGCTCTGTCTTTGTGATCTGGATGCTGGAGCTGGAGCTATGCTCGGTTTATAGGAATCCATCAGGCTCCAATGTACGCATTTCCCTATACATATGCTATACTTTAATAAAACTAAATGACCAGACTAGTAAATATGACAGTTCTTTCCTTGCTAGTGTTTTCTCTGTGTTAGAAAAGATAAAAGAAAAAATTGTGAACCCCTGTTTAGGGAGTCTGCCAGCCTGAGGTGAAGGTATTCGGTCATCTATCCCTTCCTGCTGCGTCTGCATGGGCTGCAGAGGCAGAGGGAAGGGCTGGCCCGACGCAGGTCCCCAGTTCTCTAAACATGCGGTGACCCGCTTCTAACTGCATGTGGGGTCAAACACACTTTGCCAGGGCACTGAGCAGACTTTAAAGAAGGCTACTTGCCTGCTCACCTCATCTCTTGCTATCTGTTCCACCAGGGTACTGTTCTGACAGCACTGGAAATGTTATTTCATGCAACACTCACCCTCCCATTTCCTGTACAGCTCTGCAGAAGTAACAGCTGGGAGTCAAGAACACTGATTCCACCCTGTAACACCCCCGCAGCTCACCTGGTTAGTGACTGGCTTGATCCTCAAATTCCGCTTATTCAAAAGCCTCTCAAGCTGTTCATGGTTGAAGTTTGACACCCCAATGGCCTTCACCAGCCCTTCTGTCACCAGGTCCTCCATGGCCTCAAAGAGAACAAAAACCCCTGCTGGGTACAGTGGGTAGAGGAGTTTGCTTACTCCACTGAACAACCATGTCCCTCAGCAGCACTGTATGGTGTTCTAAAATTCGATCCACCCAACATCTTTAAAGTCAAACTGGGAACACCGAGTTATATGACCTCATCAAGCCCGTTTTCTCATCTGCAAAACAAGGACGATACTGTCTACATCAGTGTTGTTGTATGATTACACGAAAGGATGCAAAAAATTTTTTTAACTACAGCTGGAATCTAGCAAACACTCAGCACATTTTAAGTCATTTTTCCTATCAGTCTGGATATTTGTAGATATGATGTCTAACAATTATGTCCACTACTGATTTCATTTGCTCACCTTCTTTCCACCTACACAGTCATCTTAAGCAAAATGATATATCATCATTCTCTTATCCCACATAACCACTTAACACTGCACAGAATTTGAGGGCAGAACCTAAAGCTCTAACTAGGAGGCCAGCTGCCTCTCAGCTTCAGAAAGAGCATGGCATTTGTGCCAGTGTCATTATTCAGGCTCAGTCCTGCATAGTCCTGAGGCCAGTGACCAAGAGTGGATGTGAACACATTGCTGCCCCACTTCTGTAGCAATCACCAGACTCCTACTCAAAGTGCACGAAAGCCTCAGGGTTTAGCCCAAGTCTTCCAGGAGAGGCAGGCTGGTGTGATGGAATGGCTGACTCCTGGCCCCTTGGTCACAGCCAGTCTCTGCTCCACTGACTCGTGGGAGTGGGTGGTGGTCCTAGCCACCTTGTCTCCCTTCTGCATGACCACAGACAGGCACTCAAAGCTTCACCCATCAGTCTCACTCCAGAGGCTTCAGATCTCTCCTCCAAAGTCTAAGTGTGCTAAAACATAGGAGCTTTAAGTGTGCACTTGCTTTCTTCCTAGTCTCATACATGCGATGCGGCCTGCCAGGCTGGTTAGTAAGACCCGTGCATGAGTCAGCCGAGCCAGAACCCACATTCTCAGGGATACCTGCTGCCCTCCCCTCACCAGCCTATGGTTAACTCCCATAGCCTCAAATCCACGACTCCTGATTCTCCAGCCCATCAATGGATTTCAAGCCCTCACCGTTTTCTATCTGGACCCTTGAAACAGGTGTGATGCTTGGAAACTGGTCTTCCCAGCTTCTCCTACCACCTCTTTGTGAACTTTATTTTATGCCAACATTATGGTTCTGAAATACTTAAGAAAGAACTAAAGGGAAGTACAAAGTACTCATAGCAGTCACCACTAGATGATGGCAACATGGATTTTAAAATTTTCTTCTTTATACTATTTACTGAAATAAACATAATATTTAATTTAAAAAATTGAATAAAAAGGGACACGTATATTACCCTTAAAATGTTTGAGAGAGGCACATCATTCTAAGCTAAAGGTAACAAGAAAGTCACTTGAAGTCTCTGAATTATTCAAGCACTCGTTTTAATTCACCGAGCAAACCCTGATACTCAAGTGGGCAATCTCTGTGTCTTTGGTCACAAGTAGCTCTAGGTCTCACATGGCCTCCACTTCACAGATCCATCGGCAAGGACAAACACACCAGATGGTGTGGCTCAGCTTACCTCCCACGTGTCCAGGAAGTCTGTGTTGCTGGGTACAACATTGCCACTGCTATCCAAAGGCACGTCAACTTTTCCAGGCTGTGAGAACCAGAAGAAAAAGCTTACTGGGACTTGTGGTCATTCCTGCTCAGACGACCAGGTAGACAGGGGACCCAAATGCCAGGAGATTTGCATCTAAGTCTTCCCTGTTACTGATACCAGTCTGGACACAACTTCCTTCTTTAGAACCCAGTCTCCACTTTTGTAAGACCCAGGGATGGGTTAGCTGACTTTCTGCCAGTCTTAAAGTTTGTTGTTCACTTCTTCAGAGGCTAGAAAGGATGCTCCTGAAGTATTGCTAATTGTTTGAAAAATTTAATAGTTTCAGGTATAGAATGAAGGTAAGGGGACTTCCTTCACATTTTAAGAGCACAATCAGCCTTCTCTCAACTCCATCATTAGGACCTTCTTTTCTTAGAACTCCCCAGATGATGATGGATAATGGAGTGAGATGTAAGAGTGCATGAGCCACTCAGAGGAGTTTCAGGTACCGATTTGTAATCCACTGGCCTCACTGGCACAATCCTACTTATCTAGCATGTTACAGAGCAAATGGCAGAAAACACAAATTCATTTGACAACACCTAATCATTCAAATTGTTGGGGA